CATGGTGATATTCGGAATCAGCATCGTCGACTACCTATAGTCCACTCGGTTTCGTTGAAAAAGCGATTTATCAGTTGGGGTACTTCCCTCGTGAGTATAGCGACACCTAACGAACACTCAAGAAATTTTTTATAGTTTCACTTTTTAAGCATATATTTTCAATGAACACCCACGAACACCCAGAAGAAAGGGTAAGAACACCCAAAAAAGTGTACCAAATTCATCTCCCGGCTGTTCTGAGCCTACTGGTAGGCTGAGGGTGGGAGGGTGAGGTACTCGTAGGCTCAGAACAGCCTGGAGATGAATTTGGTACACTTTTTGGGTGTTCTTACCCTTTCTTCTGGGTGGTCGTGGGTGTTCATTGAAAATATATGCTTAAAAAGTGAAACTATAAAAATTCCTTTTGAATGTTCGTTAGGTGTCGGTATACTCAGCTCGACGAGCTCTATCAATTGGCTAATTCAGATTTTAATTTGGGGGTGTTCATGGATGCTCGCGTCTTTTAGCAATACCCGGCTTTTATTGTTGTTTTTACAGGAAGGTTGTGCATTTACAATTATGTACAATAATCATCAAGGTGCTTTGGATTTAATGGCATCAGATCAACATTCACGTGATACATGGGTGGCTGGTTTGAAACTTTTATGTGAGCGACATACACAAAAAGGAAAAACAAATTTTATGAAAACAGATCAGTACGTGTGAAATAAACAAAAGATTTATACTAATTGTTCATACCTTCTTAGTTGGATTTTAAGTCATTTTTACATGGCTGATAAAGATGGCTCTGGAACATTAACAAAAGTAGAATGTCAACGTTTATTGAACGATGTATTATGCGTTAAAATGCCAAATAGTCTATTTCAGCTAATATTTGCAGTAAGTAGATCTTGTTATATAAAAATATATTTATCGCCTCTTGTTGAAAGCAGCAGGCTGATCCTAATGGTGATGGTCTACTAAGTCGTCAAGAATTCATCTCATTTTTTAAACTAATCACGAAACGGCAAGATTTATTCGAAATAATGAAAATGTAAAGTGTCTTCTTCTTGTTTTACGATAACATTTGCAATGTTCTCTTGCTATCTTTGTAGCCATGTACGGGATGAACACACAATGACGACTGATTCAATTAATATGAATATACATGAATTAAAAAATTTTTTAAAAAATACTCAACAGGTAGCGTAATTTTATATATGTTCAACGCATGATCAAATAATGAAATCTTTTTATGGTTTTGCTTAAAATAGGATTATGACGTGTCTACTGAACGTGCACTAAGGCTAATTGAACAGTCAGAAATGAACATCAGTCTTAAAAGTCAACAATTATTAGGCATTGATGGTAAGAAAAGAAAATATTTCTTGAAAAATGTATCAATATGAAGAATTATCAATACGAAAAGCGTTCTTATGTAATTATATTTAAGAGATTGAAAAAAATGACTGTAATAAATGAAAGAAATCCTTCTTTCAACTGGTATGTTGATTATTTATTCTAGGTTTTCGAAATATGCTTTTAACTGAAGAATTTGACATAATAAATCCATGGTGTATACGTTGTCCATATCAGGATATGAAAAGGTGATAGATATACGTTTAGTCTGTGAGTATTTATTCACTCACTTTAAACATATTTTGTATTTTAGACCATTAAGTCATTATTATATAAACACATCTCATAATACGTGAGCGTTTAACCAATTCTAACGTATATAGTTTGTTTGAAACTTTTCATTTTATTTATAAGATATCTGTTTAATAATCAAGTAATTGGTGAAAGTAGCTCAGAGGCTTATAATCGAGTTTTGTTAAAAGGAGGACGCGCTGTTGAACGTAATTATCGTTTCGAATATTGTCCGTAAAAAAAAGAATGGGTTCAGATGTTTCTTGAGTAATGTTTGACAGAAAAGCGGTAGATGCTTGTAGTCTCCACCAATTGGAAATCGAGATCTGACTGCAACTTTCCATTACTAAAGTCATTTTTAAAAT